CCCCGCCCCGGGCAGCAAGCTGCCTCTCACCTCACCGCGGCCGCCGCACAGTCCGCGCGCAGGCCCACCGCGAGCACGCCGAGCGCGGCCATGGGGGCGACCACCAGCAGGAAGGCCACGCTGTTGACGAGGCTCTCGCCGGCCACGACCAGCACGATGACGACGGCGCGCCAGGGGCAGCAGTCCCAGGACACCTCTCTCCGGTACATCTCGTACCTGGAGCAAGCGCCACAGATCCAGGGAGAGCCTTATACTCCTAGAGCAGCGGCAGCGGCAGTCCTTTCGGGAGAACGACTCAGGGATTGTCTTCAAAGTACGTCCGTCATTCGTCCTAGCGAACCTGCCAAGTTCAGGCTGCGCTAAAGCTGTCATGGCGCCTGATGGGTAGGCAACATCCCACCCGCTGTGCACGCGTGTACTGCGTGGTGACCTACCCCTAGTCTCGAGGGCGCCGAGCCCCCGCAATATGTCGAATGATTCTGAGCAAAACGGACGTGCTTTCCGGACAACCCCTCACGAGGACACCCGCCTCACCCGCAGTAGGCGCCGTACACTGCCCAGAAGGGCCACACCATGAGAGACATGGCGACGACGGGCCACCACCCGGCGGGAGGGTGGCGCGCGGTGTAGAGCACCAGGCACTCCGCGAACTGGCCGAGCAGGGCGCGCCGGCGCGCCGCGGCCGCGAACACAAGGCCGCGCAGGAGGCCCTGGAGCACGATGACGCCCATAACAACGTGGCTCTCCAGCTGCAGGGTGAAGGAACACTGACGGCAGAGAGGTGTGCCTGTTTATGAGGAAGTTGACCGACAAGAGGAACAATAAGAAGGTAGTACTGAGGAGGTGGCGTGGCGTAGTGCCGTCCGTAAACAAAGCAGAACGCCGGCGACCATACTGTGTTTTGTCGCGAGTGGATGTGTGATCATAAATCAAGTTTTGTATAATAGGCTATTCCGCTCGACGCGGTAAGAAGAACACAAGAATCACAAAAGACGAGAGTGGGGGGAGCGGCGCGGGGGAGCGCGGGCGGGTGGGGAAGCCGCCTCGCTACCCCCACCCTCAGCTTTTGTGATTCTTGTGTACTTCTTACCGCGTTGAGCGGAATAGCCTATTTGTTAAGAAAAATTGGGTCCATACTAGACCGGCCTAACAATCTTGTGTCAAAAAGTGCTTCTGCAAAGTTTGGCTTAGGAAAAGTAAGTTTATACAATCTTCTAAATCTCCTGGTGTCATGTTTAGGTTAGTGTACGGACATATTGCATTGGTACTATTTTAACTCAATGATAATGACTCAACTGTCGTAATAAACTTGAGTATAAGTGGTACCAAGGTGCTAGATATATAGGCCCGTTCTAAACTGTTTGAAATCTAACGACACGCATCCTAACCTCTGCCAGACTGTAGCTCATCTTCCGAAAAAATAGAAATAAATCTGGTAAATGTGGGAAAATGTCAGAAAAAAATAAAAGTAACTGAAAAAAAATTGGTTTAAGAGTGTGTAGTGAAGTACACCTCTCGCTCTCGGGGTGCTCCTTTTCACCATGTTTTTGCAGTCCCTCACCTGTAAGCCGACCTCAACGGCGGCGTACACCAGGAGGCAGACGCCGTAGGCGGCCCAGCCCGACCAGGGCCGGGGCGGCCAGCCGCGCAGGGGCAGCAGGCCCAGCAGGGAGGCCAGGCTGCCCAGCAGCAACCCGAGGCAGAGGGCGGCGCGCCAGGACGGGCTGGCCGGTCTGTACTCCTTGCTGTAGTACTTCATGCTGTGAGTGCTAGTGTACGGCTCTCGTGTCCACCACCGGTTAGCGCGTACGTCTGCTAGTCCCGAGAATAGTGTATTTCGATTAACGGAGGAAGAAGAACAGCGGGTAGAACATAAACGTTACCGATTGGCCGAGAGCTTCCCGCCTCTACGTCACGCCGGTAGTGGGAGTAGGCGCTCGGCCAATCAGGAACCTTCATGTTCTACCCGCTATTCTTCTTCCTCCGTTAGTCGAAATACACTATATCGCACGACAGTTGACTTCTGCACAGGGACCTGCGTAGGGCGGGCACTTTCCGGGCACCTCGCTCTGCGCGCATGAAGTGACCACTGCCCGCCCGGAGCGCCTGTAGAGCGCCCGGCCCTGCCCTGCCCGGCGGGCAACGAGGTGC